CAGAGTCAATCCACCGGGCTATGGCTTTCCCCACCAAAGGAGCGGAGTGTGGACATCGCTGGTAAGTAGCCGCCACCAAAAGACACATTTCCAGAACCCCTAAACCATTCACTCATCCAACATAGACAGGAAAAGAAAGACAAATTGCTCAGGTGTGCCTGTGTATATACTGGAAAACTACAACACAAGAGTCTAGAAGAATTACGTAGAAAAGTCTTTACATAACTAGGTGATATTCTCTAAATATTGGCTTATTTGTGCAAAAAGAAAAAGAGTCTGAGAAAAAAAAAACAAGTCCAAAGAATTTCCATCCTGATAACTGTTCATATATGGGCCAAAATAGTTCCTAAAAGGAAGATATTTAACTTAGTTATGCAAAGACTCATGTTCTCACACAAGAAAGTACATACAACTAGAAGAGAGTTAAAAATCTAACTCTTGGACAAACACAACAAGATATTGATTGGAATGACTTCAGGGTCACCAACCTGGAGAGGGAATCTTTATTTCTGTGGAACACCTTTATAGCCTGTGGAATAAAACACTCACTTCTTGCAAAAAGAAAAAGAATCAGTCTAAAATCAGTCAAGTTTGCTGATAAAAATCAGAGGCTCAAGCTTGTTAAGCTATTTCACAGGAATGTGCCAATGAGTGGCCAGGAGCAACATTAAAGCATTCATCCAAAAGGAGACTCTAGACACGTGCAGGCTTCGGCCTAGGTAGATCATATCAAGCTTGGCTATTTTTCATTGCTGTTGCGTGTAAACATAATTCATGATAATAGACATGGGGAAGGGTCTCAAAGGTTCGTTGTCCTTGCAAAAGGGAGCCTGGTTTTGTTGTAGCATGACTGTTTTCCTTAAATTGTTTAAACAGTAAATAGACAAGCAAACCCCAAAACTCTTTCTGCCCCTTCCTAATGCCTTCCTCCCCTTGCCTTCCTCCCCATCCGTCATCTACCATGCCTTACATTTTTCATAATGCAGGCTCATGAGCACTTCAGATTCATAAGACTGCAATGTTGCACACAGCACTTTGAGATTAAGTCCACCGGTTTAAACGTAGCTCAATTTGAGTAAACTTATAGCAATTGGCTGTAAGGCACAAAGAGATGGTGCTCATATAGTGTGATGGTGCTCAACAAAGAACGAAATAATGGGCTTAGGAAGCAATTATCATTATTTCATGCTGTTAGGCGCATTTATAATAAGCATGCCCATCTAGGATGTGCGTAAATGGAAAGGAATAACCTTCTTACGATGAAACAGGGTGGGACACACAGCTGCTAGTAAGCCCTGAAACAGCATGAAACTGGCCAGCTAGCGACCTACATCAGAAAATCCAACCCTCTCCTGAAAATAACTACGGAAGTTTAGAGAGATTCTTTCAGTTGGCTGCCCTTGTTCCTCTGCTCTGACCCTACTTTCCTCCACACAGCTTATAACTAGCTTTTCATATCATGTCAGCCCATCATGGGTGATAGGCCACTGTGGGTTGCCATGTTATGTGAATCCAGACCACTTCCTGCAGGGTGAGCACAAACCATTCTTATAACCCATGGCTTCTTGTAGGGGTTGTTAAACCTACAGTAGATTGTCATGCTGTCTGATGCCAAGTGAGCAACCCCATCATGGGCCCAGGAAATGGCTAGTGAGCTGCTTCACAAGAGCAACAAGGCCTCTGTACCATTCCTGCTGATATTGCCTGGGCCACCACCAATGCCAGCCATCCAAAAGATGCCCAAGAGGCATGAAGGGATGGCCATTTCTGGTGCAGCACCACCTGCCACAGCTCGTTTTCTTTCCTCCTCCATTATTAGTATTTTTACAGCCAATACACCAACACCTTCAAAATGCCCAGGTGACACATTGGAAGGACCGATACTGGTTCACGCCCCCTCTGTGTATTCAAATACACACAAATATTTTTGCATTTTAATTGTTGATTGACTTGTGCAAGTGTGTGCCTTTGTGGGGGTGAAAAATCTGACTGGTCCTATCCAAAAAATAAAATAAAATAAAATAAAATAAAATGGGAAGGGAAAGCTAAGTTTTGCATGCTACTGCAAAAGGGGTTATATGAACTTTTCTCCCTCCTGAAGCACCTAGATGTTTGGGAAAGGATGGAAAGATGCAGGACATTGAGAAAAGTCAGTCCAGACTGAGAGGGAAAAAAATCATGCCATCTGCTAGCTACTGCCTTTCACTAGCAAAGATCAGTTTTGTCTTTGCTTTCACTTGTCAGCTTGCCCTTTGACAGCTCTTAGGACAAAGCAAAGCAAAAAATGGACTTCTTTGCAGCTTCTCTGGGTCAGCATCCACGGTGAGCACCTGCTGCACTTTGACAGCAAACATGCCAGGACTTGGCCTGCATAAGACTGCCCATTTCAGACCCCCAAAATGCAGACATGCACTATTATGATTATTACGTATTTAATTTCAACACCACCCAGTAGCCGAAGTTCTCCGGGCAGTGCACAATAATACAATAAAATGCAATATAAATTAAAACAGCAAAGCATCGTAAAATTATATGCAAAACAGTGAAAATGACATCTAAAACCACATTTTTACAACTAAACAGCTAAAACCAGTTGTGCAACTCCAGAAAAATTAAAATTTGGTTGTCAAAGGAAGAAGGGTGGTGAGCCAGAGATGGCTCCTCCTGCACCCCCCAGAGTGTTGCTTGGACATTTCAGAGGGGTTGTCGCTGACTGCAAAAAGAGGTGGAAAGGAGGGAGGGAAAGCTGCAGCAAGCACGCAGGGTGATTGTGAAAGAGAGAAGGGGAGAGAGAGAAGACAAGGTGGCTTTTAGCCAATAAGTCTCCTGGGATAGCTGCTGGAGAACCCGAGCAGAAGGAATGGGGGCCAACCCACAAGGGTCCTGCTCACCTGTCAGGCACACTGTGGATTGCTCAATGAGCAACCCACCCAACATAGCTTATGCTCAGGATGGGTTGCCCTGATACATGCATCTACCCTGCAACTCCTGTCCTGGCACACATCCTTCTGCCAAGAGGAGCATTGCTCGTGGCTGCACTGCCATATTCATTCATGAACAGGGCTTTTTATGCGCAAATACACATTGGAATCACCATTAGGCTAGCATCCAAACAGCAGTTATAGCAAAGGGCAGCAGAAGCGGCACGAGAAGCAGTGGGGCACACGAGGCAGCGGTGGACTGGGGCGAATTTCTGTGGCATTTATTTGTATTGGAATTTGTGTTTCCCTAAAACCTGAACACAATTACAGAGAGTAGAGACCTGACGGACAAGTGTGAATACTAGCTGTGAAACATGGGATGGTAACTCATTGACGACTTAGATGTGCAGTCCTCTGCAGGGATGTGGAGAAAGCCATTCTGGGGTGGGAATCTGTTGGATTCCCTGGGCTCAGCTCTCCACAGTCCAGCTTGCTTTTTTGCAACCATGAGTCCAAATTCCCGGAAGACTCAAGGAATGTTCACACGGAGCTCACTAGGTGTCAAGTCCTGCATGAACGCTGCACAAGTGGCGTCCCCCTTCCCTGCACACGACCTTGTTCCTATTTCATTCACTGTGGAGGAAGTTTGCCAGTTGTGCAGCTGGAGTTCCATGAGCATTTGCTGACTTTCTCTGAACTTGGCTCACTTTCTAACACAGGGCTGAGCACAAGAGGAACCTCCATGAATTGAGAACGACAGATTCTGTGGAGCTTTGTTGCAACACTAGTCCTGTGTTAAAGTAAAGCAGTTAATAATTACAGTGAAGACTCAGGTGAATGGTAACCACCTACACAATGCCAGCTATTTGCATACCAGCAGTAGATGGTTCCTTTGTGGTTTAAAAATGCTATCCACAGTAAGTAAAAGACAGTAATCCATTAACGTATTTATTCAGGATAAAGAGGTGATTCAGCAGAAAACCTGAATCTTTAAGATCCTCTTTCCACAATGGACAATGCCCCAAATTAGAAAGTAATATGCTTATGCATGTGGGGAAAATACACCAAATTCCTCAGCTGGGGCACCTAAGCACAACATCATTGGTCCCCAGACACACATTCAAATAAAGACAAGTAGTAAGAAAAGTATGAGCTAAACCTTGTCTTGCCACGCTGGCCACATTTGTATGTAACACTCAGGGTTGTCGCAATGTGAACAAGCTCCGTGAACCTGAGCAAAGCTTGGGTCCACATGTTCCCCATTCTGTTCTCCCCCAGTGTGCAGCCATGGGGAGGACTTAACCCAAATTTAATGTTTACGATCCCCAGGTTATTACTACATATGAACTAAGAATGTGGCTTAAGGCAAAAATTAGTTTGCCGAATAAGCTAGCTAAAAATTTAGTGTTGTAGCTGGCTTACTTGGGAATTGATTAATTTGCCCTAACCACTACTCCTGGTTTATAGATAACAAGAAGCCAGGAATTATAGAAACTGACCATGAATCCTGGTAAACCTACCTTTCAGAGGTTCTAGAAGAGTCCAAACCTAACAGAGCCCCAGTCCCATAGGGCTAGATCCTGCCTTAGTGTTACATGTGAACAACCACATGGGAACACACTGCGTGTTGTATTTGTTAAACAGTTAACCAGCTGTTACAGAATTGAAAAGAAATGATCTGTTATTGAAAGGAGAACCTTGAACAACACTGGACTTTACATTAGCCAAAGCAACATACAAGCCACACCTTTTAATGGAGCCAACAATTCCACATACAGTAATATCTAACATGGTCAAGGTGGAATGCAGCACATAATCCACACATTTTCATGAAGGAAGCTCCACATGCACACAGACACATAGAAAAACAATGATATGGCCTACACAAAACCACGTACCCTGAGGCCTGTTCTAGATTTGACATATGTACTCTTGTGTAGCTTTAGAAATATTTGAATTTATCCATATGAGGCAGAGTAAACATTTTAATAAGAGAAGGCAAACTTACATGAGAAAGTTGGAACCCACTTCTGCACATCAGAGAGCCCTAATAAACTATAATAGTTTCTCAAAGTTTACCTTGACCCTGGGCATGACTGCGGAATTGAGCTGTGACTGCTATGAAGATGAAGAAGAACCAACTCTTTGTCTTGAACTGATGGTGGGTCTCCATTCTTGCCATTGGATAGATGTAGCATCAACACACCTGCAAACACACAGATATATTGATAAAGCAGAGGGTTACTACTTCAAACTTTTCAAACAAATTACATTTAAATGTATTTGCTATCATTGCTTCTTATATGGTTTGTTTTAGAGCAAAGGAATTCATATTTTTAGCAAGTCCATATGAAACTTTATAGCAATATACTTCACAGTGACTCAGTTCACATATCCTGCTCAACTCCTGAGGTGTTAGACTGGAGTGTCCACACAGAAGCAAATGCACTGCCTCCCGCCTGTTCACCAGTTCTGCTTCCCAAAGCTACCCAGAAAGACTCCATTCCTGAGCTGTTTCATAATGTCCAAACCCAGGGACTCTGGATAGATTAAGAGTTAAAAAACCAAAGCTAACCCAGCAATCACTTGTGGTTTGTTGGGTTAACATGGCACGGGAGCCACTGGGTATTTGCCAGTTCCTGGGTTGAACAAGCAGGAACTGTTGTTATATGCAGATAAAAGTCAAAGCAGAATCTAGGAAGTGAGAAGACATATATGTGCACCCATAGTCCAAGCTCTGTGAGCCTGCTTTCCTGCTCACTATCAAGAATCGTTTGAATCTGATGTCTGACCAACTGCAAAATACAGGCTAACACATGCATGCACACACATTTGCATACACGTACTTGCAAGTATGCTGATATCTGCACAGGAATACACAACCCACATACAAATATGTATTTGGTTAAAACATGTTTAGCCACTTCTTAGGACTACAAGATCCCAAACACATGTACAAAAATGAGAGAAATATGTGTCTCTCTATGTGTAAAAGACAGAGACCTACACACTATTTGAAAAATGGCTCTGGACGTTTTTGACTTTCAAGCCATTTTTTAATCTCTGAAGGCAGTACAGAAAAGGAAGGTCTTCAAGACCCATCTAAATGCCCCTAATGGAAGGGGCCAGAGGCAGGAATGCTTTATAGTGTTGAAGCCGCCAACTTATTAGAAGCGAGCTGCAAAGTGTAAAAGCTGCCACCGAGAATGCCTTGCCTCTCCTGCACACATTAAGTTAACAATGTGAACTTCAAAAGGATCTCCAAGGAAGATCCAGGTGTACTGGCTGCAGGTATACAGGTAACCTGTCCCCACACTGTTTAGGGACTCACAGTTTAAGACCAGCACTTTGACTTGGGCCCAGAATCCTACTGTTAGCCAGTAGAGTAAAGTGCAGAAGTGAAGCTGTGTGTTCTGAACTCCAGTTCTCCGTCAGCTTCACTGGCTCCCCATTGAAGTCCAGGCCCAATTCAAGGTGTTGGTGATGACCTATAAAGCCCTTAACGGCTTGGGTCCTGGTTACCTGAAGGAGCGCTTACGTCCATATACGCCCGCCCGCCCCTTGAGATCAATGGGAGAGGCCCTTCTCCGGGAACCCTCCGTGAAGGATATTAGGAGGGTGAGCACCCGGAGGAGGGCCTTCTCTGAGGTGGCGCCCAATCTATGGAATGCGCTCCCCAGAGAGGTCCGCCTGGCATTGTCGTTATTTGTTTTTCTGTGCCAGGCGAAGACCTTTTTAGTCAAACGTTATTTTAATTGTTAATATTATTTATTTTATTCTTGGCCAGGTTGACTCAAACTATATTGTTTTTATATTGTGTTTATTTATTATTATTGTGAGCCACCCCAAGGCTTCAGCGAATGGGGCGGCATAGAAGCCTCCTAAATGAATGAATGAATGAATGAATGAATGAATGAATGAATGAATAGCATCTGGGAGCTAACTTTTGCCCAAGCTGCAGGTTCTGAACTGTTCTTAGACACAGTACTCTATGAAGGTCTTCCTAGCAGCCTGTTTCTTAGTGTTGCAGTTGCACTAATAATAATTAAAAGTTTTATGTTTTGGAAGATAGAAGGCTTTGCCTGTCTTCCTCCCTGCCCCTCCTACCCCAAACTGCAGGGTTTTTCCTGTTCTGGATCCTTCTACAGGAAAAAGGATGCTGAGTCCCTGGTTATGTGAATGCTTCACCCATGAGCTGATCACTCTCAATTGCAGAGCAGAGACAGCAGGATAAATTGAAACATCGTTTCAAGTTTGAATCCAAAAAATGTATCTCTCACTAATAAGTTGGAAAGCTGATCTGTTGCTAATAAGTTGGAAAACTGATCTACATGTCTTTTGTTATCCCATCAGTAAAATGGATACTGTTGCAACTGTTCTCTCCATTGCATATGCCTGCCCAGTTCATGGGTTGTCTTAGAGGAATTTCCTGTCTGACCGTAAAAAGCAAACATCGAAGCCTGTTAAATTCTGTAACTTCTGATTATCTTATTTATTACCTGCTACTCAAGTTCTTGATGCATCTTGATGTTTTTGTATTGTAATTTTGTGCTTCTATATTGTTCCTGCATATCACCCATTCACCCAGTCTCAGTTCCCTCCCTTCCATGTGTGAGAGACACCAACTCCATCAAACACTCTGCGCATGTTCTGCTCTTCGTAATTAGTCTCATACTGAATACCCCTCAGCACCGTTGTACTGTAAGGATACCTGTTGCTGTTCATAAACTGTTGAATTACTTGACTGTATGATCCCTTTTTGGATCTGGACATTCATTGCTTGCAGGTCTGAAATACTGACTTTAGGTAACTACTACTTGAGTAAGCAAGGTAAGGTCTGACTGCACCAAACAGGGCTTCAGGCCAATGCATAATCTGGGTATACATACTCTAACAATCCTGTTCAAATGATCCCACCAACCTAATTTCCACCTGCAGTGGGACTGCAAACGAAGCCTCAGAAGCTGAGTGAAGTTCTCTGCCTGAAGAGAGCAGAAAACGGAACATAATTAGGCGTGGAAATCGTGCAGTGAACGAGCTGCTCTGTTTGAACAAGTTCCCCTCTGTGGAGCACTGTGGTTGTCAAGGAGGTCATGGAACCACCTTTCCCACTTTGGTGCCCTCCAGACGTTTTGGACTGGAACTCCTGGCATTTCTGATCATTGGCCAAGGCTGACAGGAGCTGGACATTCAAGACATCCGGAGAGTGCCAGTGAAGCTGGAAACAGCTTCTGCCATTATAAATGCGTTCGGTTATTTAAGGTGCTGCAAGATCTGGTCACCTATTTTGCTGGTTTCCTAACTCTTCCTGGATACCAGGGCGAAAGAGAACGGTCCCACTGAAATTCTCTCTCCTGCAGTGTCTATGGCCTCAGGAGAGGGCATCCACCAGTCAAGACATATCTAGATTCAGTAGGTCTTCAACTGCCAGAATAATTAGGCTGATGGATTCCCAAGGCATTGCAGTAAGGTGAGTGCTAGGGGCGGAATAGCAGAAGGGACTGGGATGCAATAGTAAAGAAAATGCAGTGTCAGGTCAAAAACACGTGAGTGCTACTCCTGAAGCCTAATAGTTTCCTGTAAAAACTTGAAGGGTTTAGCAATGAAGCATTCACTGACATGACTTTAAAGCGAAGGTAGAATTGAAGGACATTGCTTCCATGTCTGACTCAAAATAAAAGAAAGCTTGATGCAGTGTCTGTGTTATTTCACGTCAAAAGTTTGATAACTTCCTTCAAACTGGGAATGCAGTGGCTGCAGAAGCATTGCATGGTAGGAAATAGGGTATTAATAGAAAGCACATGGCTTGATAGGAAATGCTTTTGGGAGCCTGTTCTGGAAAGCCAGACTCTTGACCATTGTGATATGGGTGGCCCAGAAGTAGTTTTTACCTACAGAGAGCTGAGCAAGTGCCCTTAAGTTTATCTGTAGGCAACCTCCAAATTTTGGACTGCAACTGCTTTCAGCTCTAGGCAACATAGCCAATGATTGGGGTTTAGGAGAAATGTAGCCCAGAACATCTGGAGGAACCAGGTTGCTAATCCTGGTTGGCCATGAATTCAAGCCAAGCCAAAATTAGATTTGCTGCGTGTTGCTAACCTTTGTGACTTTAATAGGCTGAAATTTGATTGGTGCCAATTTTACCAGCAGGGCCATTTAGTTTAACTTGTTACTTTAATAAATTTATGAATCACTTTTTGGTAAAAGTTTGAAAAGCAACATACAAGGCTGAAATTTTAAAATGATAAAACCTCAAGATCAATAAAAGCAAACAGCAGCTGAACAAATGCTAGTAAAACAGTCCATAAAATCCATACATTCAATAAAAAGCAGGAGCAGGAATTCAGTTAAGAAGAATTAGCAAGTGATAATAATGGTAATGGCCATAGCCAAGACTTAACCTGGCACCTGAAGGTAGGTGCATAAGAACAGCTCTGCAAGATCAGATCAAGCACAGTGGCCGGCAAGATGGCAACGGGAAGTCCGCAAGAAGGCCTTCCCTGCTCATGTCTGTAACACCTTGTATTCAGAAGCATCTCACTCACCATCCCAGAGGATCTGTTATTGCATATGGCAACTGTGTCTTTAAGATTCCCTTGTTGCCAAGCAAACTTTTATGCACCTATTATTGGAAAGTCTGGAGAATGTATTGTTTCGAAGAGCCAAAAGATCTGCAGGATCCATGAAGGAAAGAACACTGTGCAATGCAATCCTATGCATGTTTACTTGGACGTGAGACTGACTGCCTTCAATGCTGCTCAGTCCCAGTCAGATATAGTGTTGCATCTTTCAGACATGAAAGTAGATTTCTAGGGCGTCCCGCAGAGCAAAAAGCACCAAAGACATCATGATCAGAATAAATCAATTCTGAGTGGAAAGGTTTGGGTCTGCTACTCAGAAACAGTAGAGCTAGGATTAAATTGCAGCCATTTGACGGCTGTAATATTTTCCCCATGCTGTGCATTCTTTTGGCTCTCCCACACATGTGGGAAATATATATAGGACAGGTGAAGTGCAGCCTTGCTGTTCCAGCTGGGTCTATGAACCGCCTTGGAAGCCAAATGAGATTGGCGCCAGCCACAGGCCACATTGTGAATTCCAGCTGTGGAGAGCAGGAAAAGAGGCAGAGCAGTGCTTTCTCCTGCGCATCTGCCTGGCAGTTGTGTTCTTCACACAGTGGCCACACAGGAGAAATATGCAGCTGTG